GGTGGCGCTTGGGAAGTGCCCTTTTAAGATTAGATAGTAGGTGGGGTGGGTGGCTCCCCTGCACGGTCGATCTCCCGTGGTTGCCCCCTAACCAGATCTTGCTGAGTCAAGATAGATCTTGGTAACGCTCCCCCCCCCCAATTCACTGCTAGGTCTCATGAGCCGGACTTGGGTCACCCACTGCTCGCACCGTACTCCCTTCCAGAAACTTCGCTGTTCTTGATCCTTCCGCAGTCATATTGGGCCTGGATCCGACATTTGGAGGTTCGGGATCCAATTATATGCTAGACTTCCGAAGGCTTTTATTCTGCCACCCACGAATAGATCTACTTAGAAATGGGATTACCGGATCAGGAATCCCCTTCTTCATATATAGCAAAAGTATATCTGTCATGGCATTGTGCTGCTATGGCGTTATGGCGTGGTGAAGTTGTGGGTCGTGCAGTGTGGGAGGGGGGCATGCTGGTGCCAAGATGGATGACTAAGTGCTACGAGGGTAGACATGTAAGTCGCCTCCCCAGGTGTGTTCTACCGTATAACTCTCTGTCCTTGTTGTGTTATTACCCTTCAGTCACTTTCGTACCGATACCTGGTTTGATAGATTCTGGAATTACGTGAACCTGGATACTTGAGTAGTTGGGCAGGGACCCACGGAATTTCTAGATATTGGTCCTTCATTGGTCCCCGTTCTTGATGTGGAATGCCAGATTCCGCCAATTCCCCTGCAGAATCTGGAAGCGGGGTACCTTATAATAAACATTTACGATTGATATATAGAGGGTGTGGGCATGGTGGCGCTTGGGGAGGGCTTTTTAAGATTGGGTGGTAGGTGGGGTGGTTGGCTGCCCTGCACGGTCGATCTCCCGTGGTTGCCCCGGCCAGATCTTGCTGAGTCAAGATAGATCTTGGTAACGCTCCCCCCCCAATTCCTCCTGGGTCTCATGGGCTTGACTTGGGTCACCCACTACCCATACCTTGCTTCCTTCCTGCAACTTGGCTGTTCTTGATCCTCCGACAGTCACATTAGGCCTGGATTCGACATTTGGAGTTTCAGGATCCAACTATATACTAGACTTTTGAAAAGCTTTTTTTCTACCGCTTATGAATAGATTTGTTTGGAAATAAGCTTGCCAGGTCCGGAATGCCCTTCCCCACATATAGTAAGAGTTTATTTTTCCTGGTATTCTTTTGCTATGGCGTTATGGGATGGTGAAGTTGTGGGTTGTGAAGTGTCGGCGGAGGCGTGTGGGTGCCAAGATAGATGACTAAGCTCTCCCTACGGAAGACATGAAAGGCCTCCAGAGGTGTGTTCCACCGTGCAACTCTCTGACCTTGTTGTATAATCTGCCGCTTCTCACCGATAGCTAGTTCGGTAGATTCTGGAATTTCATGGGCCTAAATAGTTTGGATACTTGGGTAGTAGGGCAGTGACCCGCGGAATTTCTAGAAGTTGGCTGTCCATCATTGGTCCCCGTTCGTGATGTGGAATGCCAGGTTCAGCCGATTCCCCTGAGGACCTGAGGAATTTAGAAGCGGACTACCTCATGATAATAATCACTTGCGATCGCTAGACAGGGGGTGTGGGCATGGTGGGGCTTGGGAAGGCTCTTTGGGATTGGATGGTAGGTGGGGTGGATGGCTCCCCTGCACGGTCGATCTCCCGTGGTTGCCCCCCCAGCCAGATCTTGCTGAGTCAAGATAGATCTTGGTAACGCTCCCCCCCCTAATTCACTCCTGGGTCTCATGGGGCGGACTTGGGTCACCCACTGCTCACACCCTACGCCCTTCCTGAAACTTGACTGTTCTTGATCCTGCGACACTCACATTAGGCCTGGATTCGACATTTGGAGGTTTGGGATGAAATTATATACCGGACTTTCGAAGGCTTTTATTCTGCCACCTACGAATAGATTTGTTTGGAAATAAGCTTGCCGAATCCGGAATACCCTTCCCCATATATAGTAAGAGTGTGTTTGTCCTGGTATTGTGCTGTTATGGCGTTATGGAACGGTCAAGTTGTGGGTTGGCAGCGTCGGCGGGGCCATGCTGGTGCCAAGATAAATGACTAAGCGCTCAGTCCGCTGTGGACATTATGGGGGATTGTGGCGCTACACGGGGGCTTTGGGTTAAGTTACGGGTTTGGTACGGTGCTTGAGAATACCGTACTTGGTTACAATAACTAGATGATACGGCAGGTGCTCGATAGATGACCAGAATTCACTAATTCGGATGGGATGAGGGTTGTTGGCGGTTTTCAAGGGATGGGATGTCCGTTATGTGCTCCCGTGAAGAGGTCGGGTATGAGGTTCCCCATTCCACTGCGTGAACAGGAGGAGAATTGCCATATAATAACTGCCTAGGACCAATAGCACGGGTGTGTGGCTGACTGCTTGGGAGGGGTCATTCGGGATTTGGTGGGTGGGTGGTTGGCTCCCCTGTGCAGTGGATCCCCTACACATACCCCCAGATCTGGCTGAGTCAACATAGATCTTGGTAGCGTCCCCCCCCTCCCCTCTTCACTTCCAGGTCTTATGGATGGGACTTGGGTCACCCCTCGATCACACACCGATTGATTCCTATATCCTTGACCTTTCTAGCCTTCTCACCAATTGGAACCCAGCATCGGACTTTTACAGTATATACCGAGGGAACCGCTTTCTACTCGACTTTGGAAGGGATTTATTCGTGATCCTACCCATGGATCCGCTTATAAATAGGCTATATGGATGCGGTATCATCTGGCCAGTCTGGGCAAAGCTTTATTTTGACGTGGGATTGTGTGGTTGTAGTGTTATGGTGTGGTGAAGTTGTCGGTTGTCGTGGTGCTGGAGCAAGAGATGGTGGGTGCCAAGATGAATGACTAAGCGATGGCCGCCGCATCATGTCCTGGGGGAGTGAGTCCCTCTTAAGGTTGCACATTTTTCCGTCTATGGTACTGTATTCCACTGCCCTCGCCGGTCGCCTTTGCGCCCGTGCATAGTTTGGAAAATTCCTGAAATGCACGGGTTCGGGTATGTTCTCAATCTATGAAAATTGCAAATGTTGTATCAGTCGTGCAATGTAATGAAATGTGTCCGTATAAGGGCACAAGCAAGCCAAGCTTCTGGTACATTTTCCTCCCGCTCCGGGGATAAATACCGGTAAGAGGGATGGGGAAGTTGGCTAATACCGGAAAATGGCCCTCTCTCGGTTCCTGGGATCCCTGATGGTGCACCGCTTGCGCTACAGATGCAAGCATATAAGCATCTTAGCTTCGGAGCACATCCTCGGGGACTTCGGAATAATTAGGGCTTCCGGGGATGGCGAATGCCTAAAGCTATTGACCGAGGAGAATTCTGACGTCACATAACAATCCCCCATACACGAGTGTGGCTGCTCGGGGGGGGGGGCGTTTAAATTTTGGTGTGTGGGGTACCGATATGTGGGTGTGGGTTGCCCTGTCCTGAGTAGTCGATCTCCCGTGTTGCCCCGGATCTGGCTGAGTCAACACAGATCTTGGTAACGCTCCCCCCCATTGACTCCTAGGTCTCATGGATTGGACTTAGGTCACCTCCTGCTCACACCTTGCTCATTTCTTACATTCTGGTTATTCTGGCCTTTTTATGCCCGCATCTGAACCGTAGATTTGTCGGTTGAGGCTGCCATTTCCCACCGTCTTTGGAATGTTATTATCCTACTTCCTACGAATAGATTGCGCAATTGGTGGAATTTCCTAGTGCGGGGTCTTGTATCGCGTGTGGTTCAGCCCTACTTTTGTCGTGGTATTGTGCTGTTCCTGAGTTATGGGGTAGAATCGAGGTTGTTGATTTTTTGCGGCTGTCTGATATTCGGTACCAAAGAGATGACTAAGCACCAACTATATTGGGCATCCTGGCTACTGGCGCCCCTCCCCTCGGGGTGTTTGTCATACATTTTCTATCTCTGTTATATTATCCCCTTCTGGTACCTCCTTATCGGTGAGTATTTCGGTAGGTTCTTGGGATATCGCGAATCCAGATGCCGTACGGGGAGTCAAATATCAGTGATCGTGGGGAGCGAGAGACTTACGTGCAATATAACTTAGTGTTACGTTTTCCCAATCTGTGATGACACGTAAGGTACAGTAGAGAAGGGGGCTACGGGGGCGTTAGCTCTTAGGTAGTTCTCCCACTGGCCCTGCCACTCTTGATACTACCTCGACTCCCCGGGACCGGCCTCAACGCGTTGGTAACCGTGTTCGAAAACTGGCCACAATAGGGGTGGGATAATTTTTCTCTGGGGGTATCCAATACCAATACCCGATATTGCTGATGGGGGAGGATTCTGAAGTTACGTCGGGGCCACTCGCACACGGTTGCGGTTGCTCAGGGAGAGCCGCTTGGAATCGGCGGGTGGTGTGGGTGGTTGCCCTGCGCGGTCGGTCTGCGTAGTGGATCTCCCGCGCGCTGCATCCCCTGTCTTACTGAGTCAAGCTGGGTCTTCACCTGGTAGCGCCCCCCTCCGCCTCTGGGTCCAAACTAGGTCCCATGGATTGGACCTGGGTCATTTGCATCCCTTTTATCTATCATACGTCCTTACTGGCTGGAGCCCGTTTATGCGTGCACTGGGAATACGGAGCGGCTGTTTGTGGGGTGAGGTAAGCTACTCGTCGGTTCCGGACCCTGGGGGGCATCTATTCACTTCTCATGGATCAATTTCCCTGTGAGTGGGCTTATTAGATTTGAGATCGTTTGGCCCTTCTGGGGAAATTCATTTCTCGTCCTGGTATGATACGGTTGTGTTGCTACACACCGTTGACTCCCGGTGTCTTTGGTGCTCTGCTCCCCAAACCGTCGATCTGATATCTCGCGCCAAGAGTTTATATGACTAAGCTTCATTGGACTTTCGCACCAAACCTACCCTGCCTTGGAGCCAACCCATAACTTATCCTTCCTTGCCCTCGTATGCTCCATCCCCGCCATATCGTCCCCTTTCCCCTCATTCTCCGTAGCGCACTAGTGGTACCTCGGAAACTACACACAATGCAGAAAATACCCCCCGCGACCCTGATAGAGTGTGAGGAGTATACTATCACCGGTTCTTGAATTCCCTTCCCGCAAGTATTGCAACGACCTATCAATTTCTAACAGGATAGACTAGGCGGCATCAAGATAGTTGATAGATGGTTTCGCACGGCGCTTGACTATTCGAATCCAGGGGCGGCTGAGATTACCTTGTTCGCTAGGAACGCGATGCCGAATAAGAAGGGGAGCGCGGAGTGCGGGGCGGGATTGCCGTATTGTGGGTTGTTCCAGTTCCAACTTCTTGGCGAGCGGCCGTGGAGCCCGACTTTATTACTAACAAAAAATACCCGAATAGTTCTGTACCTGCAAGGTCTGTACTCCATCACTCACCCACCCACTACTAAATCAACGTCACTGGAATAAATCTAAAAAATGAACAGGTGGTCCCGGCTTTGAATGCGTTCCTCCGGAAAATCACCCACTGACAAATTTCCTTTTCGACAAGGGGTTCCAAGTCCTGTACCTCGACCAGCGCGGAACGGGTATGAGCTCGCCGGTATCGCCCCGCATGCTCCAAGGTGATAGTGGAAAGGAGCGGAGTTTAGAGGCGCAGGTGGAGTATGTGAAGCTTTTTAGGGCTGATAACATCGGTTTGTTTCCGTCGCTGGCTTGCCAAACCGGATGGGCTAACGGGATGGGGTGGGTAGTGAGAGACTGCGAAGCAGTTCGTCATGCACTGCTTGGGCGGAAAGAAAAGGAGGAGGACAGGAAATGGGGTGTTATCGGTCAGAGCTTTGGTGGATTCTGCGCGGTCACGTATCTCTCGTTTTAGTAAGTTTAGTCCTAATAAATTCTACACTCTTTTCTGGAGTTAACTGATGGATATGTTTGAAGTCCTGGAGGTTTGAGGGAGGGTATGTGTGGATCATTCTGTCGCAGTCATTGATTTTGCAGTAGTAGGCTAAGCTGAAGTGTTATAGTCTTCACAACGGGCGGAATGCCACCGCTCGTGAGCAACCCGGATGAGGTATACAAAGCGCTGTGGGAACAGGTGAAGTTGAGAAATCAGGTTTACTACGAAAAGTACCCACTTGATGTTGAACGGGTTAAGAATATTCTGAGGTACTTGAAAGGGGAAGAAGTGCGGGTTCCCAACGGCGGGCGTCTTACGCCGAGGAGATTTTTGGGGCTGGGGTTGGCTTTTGGTGCCCACGGTAAGTCCTCTTTACTCTTTGTGGGAATTTGCTGATAAGTGTATGCTAGGTGGGATTGATGGAGTGCATCGTAAACATCTTTGCCCATGGGAGGTATTGGAGATAGTGGACTGATAATTGGCAGATCTTGTACAGCGCGCGCATACTGACCTAAGAGTCCTCGGCCATCTTTCCTATAAAGTGCTTCAATCCATCCAGGGAAACCAAAGCTTTGACGGAAACGTCTTGTACGCACTTGTTCACGAGCCGATATATTGTCAACAGTACATCCGCCCTCCCTACCCCTTTAGGATCTACTGACAACTTGCACAGTCGCGCTGCTGACTGGTCCGCATTACGCACGAGGCCGCATGATCAAGAATTTTATTGGGCGCAGGGTCTTGGGCGGAAAGGGCAACCGGTGTACTTCACCGGCGAGATGGTCTCATCCCCTTCTTCCCTTTCCTTCTGCACTCGCAAGCACTCACATCGATAGATTTTCCCCTGGACCTTCCAAGACTACGCCGAACTCTCAAAGCTCGAATTGGTAGCTATGATCCTCGCCAAAGATGCGGAATGGCCATCCCTCTACTCCGAAGATGCACTGGCCAAGAACGAAGTGCCGGTTTATGCAGCAACGTACATGGAGGATATGTATGTTGACTATACACACGCGCGTAGGACTGCGGGAAAGATTCGCGGGACAAAGGAATTTGTCACGAATGCTCTGATGCATAATGCGGTTAGGGCTAGGAATGAAACGGTTATGGGGGAGCTGTGGAGGTTGAGGTCCGGAGAGGTTGATTAAATTAGATGGAGGGTGTTGATGTTTGAGGTGGTAGAGGCTTGGTCTTCGGTACTTTGTTTGGTCGTGCGATTAAAAGCTTGTTCGTGCGATGGAGGTTGCTTTGCTGATTGCTAGTTGCTAACTTAGATGGAATAAAAGTTTTGAGGGTGCGGGTACAAATGGGAGAATGTGAATAGCCCTGAATACCCTGGGTGAGGGGATGGTATTATACTTTATCGGTTAGGGAATATCTCGAGTGACATCGCGGAGAGGGCCGATAGGGGGGGTTCTTCAAGCGAGGTAATTCGTGTTGGCTTTCCCGCTTGCAGAGCAACACTGTGGCTTCGAATCCCCCCCTTGCTTGGAGACTGATGTTGCCACAAGATGGCTTGTTCGCTCGCTTGCAAATACCGAAAAAGTTGATTATCCGTATTGTTGGTGAAAAACCCCGTGATGGTCGGTGAAAGCGTGAGTGCAGAAAGCCGTCCGCCCGCGAATCCCGGCCGTTTCCCGAACAATAATCCGGGCGGTTCTCCTATCTTCTGCCGATCTACTGGTACCAGTGACCGAGTTCAGAATCTCCTCGTTGGAAAGAATTGCTGAAATGGCTTCTTCGTTCTTCTGATGCTTTTGGTTGGTTCGGCTGGGCTCAACCAGGGGGGGGGTGATTGGATGATATCCGCTTTTTCTCCTATGATGCTCCTATGACTTTTGACTCTCGCTTTTTCTTGATTGATTGTTCCGGTTGGCTTATCTGTCCATTTAACTTAACGCTTTTCCGGCTTCTTTCTTGTGGGTAGGGGTTGTGTTCTTGCTGGCTGTGGAGGTGTTATTTGAATCAAGTTTTTTTTTTTTGGCGCGGTTACAGTACTACGACAGAAGTTTTGGCGCGGTCCGTAAAGTACCAGCCAGAATACAGCAAAATAGGGGAAATAAGAGCCTTTACAATATTGACAGTGCCACAAGCACCTCAGTACCAAAGATTACCAAACCTTTGCTGCGGGCACTCGGGGACTCAGTGATTCAGCCAATATTACTTTAGCCACAATCAATTATGGATCGGTCCTTGCACTGGCAAGTGAAGGGAGAGTCGCTGAATTGTGAGCGCCAAGCCTGGCAATTTGTATGGAAGCCCGTACAAAAAGGTACTTAAAATTTTTTATTGTGATTTTCCCATGCCCACCAATGATGCAATATGAGTCTTATTCGGTTGAAATTTCAATACTATGAAGCCAAGATGTGCCCCCAATAGTTAGAGGTGCTCAATTGAGGTGGAAATGGGGTCTTTTGTGTGGTTGCAAGAATGGCTACTATTGGTGTAAAAAGGGCGATATCATACGCCAAAACTTTTGTCCCCTTACTTTACTTACAAGTGCGCAATAGAGATTATGTACCCATTGTGGGGGTTCAGGAAACCGTGCCCACCGATCGTGTCGGTCATCACGGGTTTCATGAGCAGGGGCTGAGGAAGGATGAATAACTCATGAATTGTCACTCGGTCTTGAAATGTTCCATAATTCTGAGAGCTTAATTTTGTGCATTCTCTCGGGGTGGCATCTCGCTGGGCTGCGTAAGGGTGTGCCTCCATGGGCTGCTTGACGGAAATAGTATGCCCGTGTAGTATCGTTTGCACCCTTCGCTCCGCCCTCTCCACTGACGTTTTCAATATGGTTTGTTCCAGGCAATAGAGGCGGGGTGATTGCCAGCGGAGGTCTGGATTGCTGTGAAACCTGTGGACAGGGTGGCTACGGGGGCTGGAGTACATATCCGGGAGTAGCGGTAGAGGGTTTGGTCAGGATTACAGATAGATGTCTATTCTCTCCTCCCTGTATTCTTTCTGTTTTTTTTTATATCGGACTGGATGGATTGTATGGGTTGGTTTTCCTGGATACGTTCGTGCTCGGGTAGGGCCGTTCGCTAAGGTAATTTAAAGTCACTGTTGGAGGGGGTCATCTTTTCGAGATACTCGGGCAAAACACATATTATCACTCGATCTTGGGTTCTTATATGCTATCTCCTGGGCGGTCGGAAACGGTAAAATTCGCCAGACAGGCAAATGAATCGTGTCTTGGAGGGCACTCTATTTGCTGTGATTCGTTGGGATTTAATGGCTGTTAAGATGTCGGGTCATTTGAATTCCGAAAAGGCCAAATTCGTGGCTCGAAATAGGTAACCGTCTACTGATCCAGGGTGAGTTGTGGCCCTGGCTGTGAATTTCACTGTTTCAGACCGCCCAAGGGATAGTAGAACGACGCCAAGAGTCTTCACAATGCATCAGTATGTAATGATAAATAGAAGCGACTATCGTGGGTTACACCGTGGGGTGTCTTCTAGTTTCGGTGCCATCTCTGATAATGATATATGATCTACCGGAAGTCTACTTATGTGTTAGACCAATTCCGGGAACAGAGGAAGGGTTACGGAAGCCCGGTAACAGTTTGGTGGAGAGGGAAGAGGAGGAAGTGAAAATGAAATCGGGATAGACGACATCGCCGTTGCGGCCCTTAGCCCAACCAGTTTGTTTTTGCTTCCCACTCAACCTGGGCTTCCCAGTGCGCGAGGTAGAGGCCGTCCACTCGGGGCTACTCCCGAGCAAGAGTGAATTTCATCTCAATCTGCCAGATTCATTTCTAGCGACATGACCGTCCTAACATGATCGCCATATCTTTGATCCTATGATGGAATAAGCAGTCTTGTTCAATGTTTTGATAGCCTTGCGCTACTGAGGGGGCACAATATCAGTGACACGAGTTTATATAGTATTCTATGCTTCCGCCAAGGGGTTCAAGCCATAAACAAGCCTCCTCTAGCATCAACAGGTAGATGCTCAGATCTCGCGTGAAGTAGGAAATACCGGTGCAGCCCTCCATTCGAGACTAAAATGTTTAATGTGCGAAGAAAAACAATTAACCGGGAATGCCCGTGTTTCAGCACTTCTGTTGTGCGGTGCTTAAGGCTTTGTGGGACACCTGAACTCGTCGAACAGCCTTTGAACCCGTTCTCTCATTTGCACGGGTAGGGATGTTGATTGATTGTATGGCGAGATGCTGTAGGTTAAGCGCTCCCATAATATTAGTGGATATTTCCTGGTGGCTGGGACTTGACGCTTTAGGGATGCTCGGCAGAGCGGGTCGGAATTTCTTGTTTCTTACATTATAATTTGGGCCAGCTTGTATCACGGCTTATCACTCATAGGATTGCATCCTTGAGTTTTCCATACGTCACCAAGCAATACGATACGGTATAGTACGGTTCCTTAGCCTAATCCGGGCTATTATTTGTTGCGCGGATCCCGCTAGGCTTGCGCAATTGGGCAAACAAATTGAGATGCTTGCTAAGCGCAAGTCCAGGAAGTCTTTTGCTCGTGGCTATTCACACCGATGCGATAGTGGGAGAACCAACCAGCCCTGGGGGAGGGGAAAGCTACATTGGATTTCGAACGACTTCAACGAAGCATGTGATGTGGCAGTGAGTTAGGCCAAGACTAGGGATCATGCATGACCTTGATGGGAATCCCTTTGGTAGAGAGATCGCTGTGGGCCGCCGAATTATGTATATTATGCTCTCGGGATAGAAGGGGCACCGGAATTCCGGACGCCGGGAGTCTCCCGTCAATTCGGAACCTTCTTGGGCGTTGTCCTGGATTGGTTGCTGTTGACCGGGAAGGGCCAACTATTCGTCTAGTACCTCCTAGTTTGCTAGGGGTATCTGTATGGCTGCCTCTGGCCTTTTCTAAAGCCCCCAATGGTCTGATTCATGACGCTGGCGTAACTTGTTTTTGTGCTTCCTCAATGGACTCCCTGTGGCAGGGAGTCCATGCTCGACCAAGACTACATCGTTGGTGAAAGGTCTTGCGATTGAATTGCTTAAGAATCATTATCAGCATACTTCCGCTGGATCTAACCATTCGGAAGGGCGGCGGGGGGAACGGAGCGGAAGAAGACCATGCGCCGCAGAGGAACATACACGGCTCAAATTCCGGAAATAGCACTGGCCTGCCATATTATTGAGGTGGTTTCCTTGAAGAGTAACCTAGAGAGCCTTGCGACATCCCTTGCGACATCCCTAATATCACAGAATAACACCCCTGCTACTCACCACGAATTCGGAGCAATTAGAGGGTTATCGTATACCTTCCAGAAATATCCTATAATACCACGCCTGTAGCACTACGGCACCTGCCATTGAATTGCGGCAACTATGCACAATATACAGAGATGGAAGTGGGGGGGATGGGTTTAGAATCGGGGGTACTATGCGTTGGTTGTGAGGTTCAAAGGATAGCGGGGGCAAAAGATTATGATGTTTTTTTGTGCAAATAAGGAGAGGAGCTTATCCAACGATGGGGTAGATGGGCAGTGGTGGGCAGAAAATAGAGTAGACTCTGTGAGTCACGCGTCACAAAACTTTACTGTTTTATTGATTCTTGCGGTGCGCCTGCCCTCATGTGTATAGTATTTATACCTTTATCCAATCCACGCCACTATCTATGAAATACCCTCATCCCAGAATACAATACGACTACTATCCAAGTTATGCGATAGAGCGATTAGATGTGGAGCTGGTTGTTGGCAGATATGGTAGAAAGTAACTCAGTGGGGATAAGAAACAGAGAATAGACCAAAATGTGTACATACAAAGAGAAGGGGGCATATAAAAGCACTGATGGGTCACAGGTATGTTCAGAGTTGGTTAAGGAAACGCAAACAATGCCAGAAGAAAAGGGAGGAGGGTAATTTCGGGGATCTAATGAGACGGTGGGAGATTTCAAGAGAATGATACGGGATTTAGCATCTGGAGTGGTTTGTCGATCGGCGTATCAGGAGTTGTCTGTGACTGGCTTAGGGCCTGTTTGGATACGACCGTTCCGTTCCGTTCCCCCATACAAAGGACCGTTACCTTCCGTTCTAAAGACGCCAAGACAACCACTTCCCCCGCTAAAATCATCGCTGAACGGAACGGTCGACCCGCCTGCCGTTCCCGCCAAACAGGCCCTTAGAGTTTAGTTTTGTTGAATTTTGTTCACCTGCTGGGGGGGGGGCACATCTAGTAGATGGCGGGAGGATTGTCGGGTTTTATGCATAGATGTCAAGGCCTCCGGGTGCTTCCGGAAGGGGCTCAGATAGCTAGGGTGCTCAAGGAACCTGTTGATTGCGGGCTTGCTACGTGTTCGGGAACCGGGTGCGCCCGCTCCCACAGTAGCCCTGCAACTCTTTTGTGCCCATTCTTGATAGCTCAGTGGAGTGGTGTTGGGTAGTGGGTGGTCTCAGATGTGTCGGGATTGAGGTCGTTCTATTCCTGAAACATCCTCACCACCCACTGACGCCCATTCCCGGGAGTTAGCTAACGCCCGGTTCGGCCATGTTCGTGTTCGGTTGTGTCGGGGTTGAAATCGCTCCGTTCCAGCAGTGTCCTCGGGATCCGATCATGTAGTGTTTCGCTCTAGTTATCCACTTTGTCGACGTTGACATTCCGTTCTCGAAGTATCCTCACGATTCCTTCATGGCAATTCTTGGAGGCCCATAAGAGCGGGGTTTCGCTCCAGTTGTCCGCTTTGTCGGG